TTAGGCAGGAACTTGGCTCCTGTTGTTACACACACAGTTCTCCGAGCATCTCGTGACTTCGGGCCCGTGCGCAACAGCCGGGCAGGAAACGGAGAGAAGGCTGGGGGGGGAGTGGAGGGGGAGGCCTCTGTGAACAGCCCTCGTCTTAGGCTTCCATGCAACAGGGATGTTATTCTCCATGGGGCAAGACCCTCAATGTTTAGGGCCGGATGTGGGGAGGGAAAAAAGCCTGTGGAAATGAGTTTCTAACTCTGTACTTAAAAAGGCTAATTAGAAGAGAGAAATGGTGGCTGCATGGATACAGGAATACAGGGAACCCTGGGCTGTGGAAATGGTGCTATATTTCAAAAGGCACTTGAGTCCTGGTTGCGTGTGTTCTGAGCTTGGTTGGCCTAGCGTGCGGTTGTGGCTGATGTTTTGGGGCTCTGCGCATCCCTGGTTTGTTGCAGGAGACTTTTGTGACACCCTCCAGGCGCTCCCCTAAGGCGAGGCAGACGCTGCTCTTCCTCCCGTTTGTCTGGTAGGCGCACTGGCAGCTGTGACAGGCGCAGCCCAAAGGTGCGGTGCTGGGAGAACTCACCGCTCCCGCCAGCCCTGCCTCCCTGTTAGGGGGAGGGCTCCACTCCTTTGCTTCTCAGATTTGGAAAAGATACGGCCTCTGGGGGTGTTCTAGAATGTTCTAGAAATGCCTGCCTCCCACCTTCTCGTGGATAGAGCTTCCTGTGGGAATATAATTAGAAACTGAAGAGATTTCTGCTGTGGCACTGGGGGCTGTGCCTGGCATCTTGTCTTTGCAACGAAGCGCATTTGGTGGCTGTTTGCAGCGAGAAGCCCCTGGAGGCTAGGCTGGGAGTAGGAGAAAACAGACCTGCTTATCCTAGACTGAGGCCTGGGGCTCAGGGTCCCCATGGATACCCTATGGCAGTTGCTAAGCACACTCGAAGTAGTGACTTCTTGAATGCTTGCGCTCACAAGGCCCTTCTGCCCACCCCAGGCTTCCTCATCTCCTGAGGATGAGGAGCAGAGCTGTTAGAAGCATTCGCATGAGGACGGCTGTGGATGCAATGGATATCATGAGCTTCTGAGGCCTGGAAGGGACCAGAGGGGACCTGGTGACCTGCAGGCTCCCTTGAGGATGCCAGGGTGTCCTACCTGGACCTGAAACAGAGGTCATCCCCAGACCAGTTTAAATAAAGCTCTGCCAGCCATCTTCCTTGCTGAGTGCTGAGCTTGGGTGTTAAAATGGTCATGTCATGAGGCATCTTTGTTTCTTTGCAAAGCAGTGTTGGCCTTCGGGGGCAGTGCTCAGGAGAGGCATCGTGTGCCTTCAAACAAAATATAAAAATAAAAAAGGAAAACAGCACAAATAATTCTGACTGGCCATGCTTTTGGAAATCTAGCCCTGTTTTCCAGTTGCTCTTTTCCGCGTTTGGTGTCCTGGATGACAGGGGTAGGACTGCTGAGGGCCCCTGGCACGTGGTGGTTAGTCCTTACATCTGTCCGTCTCAGGTAGACTCACAGATGGAGCCTGGCTTCCTCCCTCAGCTTCCCTGTCATTTGTCCCGTGGCCTCTGTGCCCTCTTCCTGAGGTGTCCTTGCCTGCTGCCGGGGGGCTGGACAGGTGCTGAGACAGGTGCCGGGCTCTTTCTGCTGATAGACAAGCTTCTTGTAAATATGGGACAGGTTGGGACGTGGCCCTCTCCTTCTCTGGGATCGTTATAACCCACTGTCGTTGTCCAGGATAGTGGAAATTTGAAAGGAATGAGCCTGGGTGACAGCACCTGAATGTGTCTTCACTTCTCATGGCATTTCCGGGGGTGGGGGCAGGGTCGACATTAACATTCTTCCGGTTTAACTTGATGAAACTGGAGTGTCATTAGCAGTTTGGCTGTTCTCGGGGAGAGAAAGGGACCAAGAAAGTCCGCTTGAAATCTCTGCTCGTCACCCCTTCGTGAGTCTAGCTCATGAGCCTGCTAATTCTGCTCCCTGTGAGCGCAGGATGGGTGAGCCTGGCCCTGCCCTCCGCCAGCTGGCGCTGAGAGTAGGAGACACCTGGCCACCGCAGGGAGGAATGCACAGGTGCTGTGGGCAGCCAGGAGGGGCACCTCTCCGGGGCAGGAAGCTCTCCCCAGAGGAGGTGAAGCTTAGGGTGGGTTTGGAAGAACCAGGAAGCGAGCCCAAAGCGGATTAACGTGCAGGGGGGAGCGAGGACATTCCAGAAGAAGCAGCATGTGCAACATGTGCAAGTTCAAGCGAGCGCAGGGGTGAACAGGTGCGCTGCCACTGTGAGTCTCTGCCCGCAGGCCGTTCTCCAGGAGAACCGCAGCTGCATGGCCTCAGGGAGACAGAAGATGAAAAGAGGAGACCAGGGACTTTACAGCCAGCCTCTCCATTGTCCCTGGAGCTTCCTGAGTCACAGTCGCACCAGAGAGTCTGAAGGGCCTGCCAGCTCCACTGCTCCCACTTGAGATGGGCTCACCTCCTAGAGAGGCTGAGTAGGTGGCTTCCGTGGGCGCTCGCCCGTGCCCAGAATCACTGCTCCCCATGGAGGGGCACGAAAGATCTGTTGTTTTCTCTACTCTGGTAGCAGCCCTGGAGGTTTATTTCTGCTGTGGAAGGGGCCTGAGGATTGTGATGTGCTTGATGGTCGCTGGGGGGGCCCCTCCTTCTGCTCCGTTTCCCCCCACCCTCCGTGTGTGTTTACTCGTGGGCGTTTGTTCCTGTAAGCACAGGGGTGTGAACAGCTGCAGACGAGGGAGGGGGTGCAGGCAGGGGATGGGTGGGTTTGGAAGAACCCACCTGCAGAGGGCCCCTGGGCTGTGCTCTTGGGGTGTCCACAAGATGCCATGTCCCCAGCACAGCAATATTGGGATGCCCGGGAATGAATTTTCAGCATTGGAGGCATATGAAGTTTACGTCCCTGTGAATTCTGAGGGTCTGCTCTTTCCAGGCTCAGCGGGCCCGCTGTCGCTGCTTTTGCTTGTGTGCACGTCTGCTCTGGTGGAGCTATCGGGAGGAGGGTCCCTTCTCTGTGGTCTGATCTTGGTTTCTTCTTTGAAACCTTCGCCGCTCTGTCCCCAGTGCCTGCTCCTTATCCTCAGCATTGAACTTGCAGCGGGAGGCAGTGGAAGGCTGAGTCAGGGCTGGCAAGAGTCTTCACATTCGAGGTCCCCAGGCTGCATTTGTAGAGTGCAGGTCTCCATGGATGTCAGTCAGTGGGGGTTTGCCCCCCACTCCCCAACCCAGAGTTGGAGGCAGGTGGGTGCTCTAAGAAAGCCAGCCTGCACAGCTTGGACGTGCCTGTGGGCATTTGTATTTTTCTTCCTCTAGTCTGTTGAGTAGGGGATGCTGGTGGCCAATATGAGGTTACCCATATGTATTTTTTTCCTTTAAAAAAGCTTTTATTTGGAAAGAGAAAAAGTTGCAAAAACAAAAATAGTATAGGGAACACCCTGTATCCTTTTCCCAGATTTTCCCATTTTAGCATTTTGCCTCATTTGGCTTATGATGGCTGTGTATGTGTGCACACAGATTCTTTTTCCGAACCATTTGAGGGTAAGTTACATATATCATGTCGCTTTCCTGCAAATACTTAAGTGTGTATTTCCTAAAAAAATGATGTCCATATATTGTAGTAAATAACTACCTGATATTTATATTGTATTTGGGATCCTGTAACATTAGGAAAACAAGTTCATTATTTTATAAATTCTGTTCAATCCTATTTTTACGCATGTGATTATAGAATGCCCATGGCGACCTCTCAGATTTTCCCTTCTTTTCAAACTCCCTTGGATGACGTCTCGAATAGATTTAAAAAAATTTTTTTTTGAAGATTGGCACCTGAGCTAACAACTGTTGCCAAACTTCTTTTCTTTCTTTTTTACTTTTTCTCCCCATATCCCCCTGGTACATAGTTGTGTATCTTTAGTTGTGGGTCCTTCTAGTTGTGGCATGTGGAACGCTGCCTCAGCATGGCCTGATGAGCAGTGCCATGTCTGCGCCCAGGATCCGAACCGGCAAAACCCTGGGCCGCCGAAGCGGAGCACGTGAACTTAACCACTCAGCCACAGGGCCGGCCCCTTGAATAGATACAATTTTTAAACTTTCTTTCATTCATTGCACAAATATTTCTTGCACCCCCTACATTGTCTGACACTGTGCTTGGTGCTGGGGTTTAAAGATGTGCAAGCTCAGATGAGGGTCTTGCCTGCAAGGAGCTGCCAGTCTGAGCAAGAGACAGACAGGAATCAGATAATGATGCAACCTGGGGTCAGAAACCATATGCCAGGTTACGTAAGTCAGGGGTCAGTAAACTATGGCCCGTAGGGCGAGTCTAGCCCACTGCCTGTGTTTGTATGGCTCACGGACCAAGAATGATTTTTACATTTTTGATGGTTGAAAAAGAATCAAAAGAAGAATATTTCATGACGTGTAAGAACTATATGCACTTCAAATCTCAGTATCCACAAATAAAGTTTTATTGGAACATAGACACACCAAGCATTTCCAGTGGCAGGGTTGAGTAGTTGCCAGAGAAACTGTAGGTCCCGCAAAGTCAAGAGTATTTACTCTCTGGAATTGTACAGGAAGAGTTTGCTGAGCCCTGGAGTAAACACTGTGCTGAGAAGGAGGGATACAAGGAGAAAAGGGGTTGTGTACAAGGCATCTGTGTGGGAAGCTAGGAAAGGATCCTGAGCTGGGAGCTGAGGGAAGGGAAGGAGTTACCTGGAGGAGTGGAGTGTGCCTTACAGACAGCACATTCAAAGGTCCTGTGGTTGAGGAGTATGGCGTTTTCAAGGACTGAAAAGACGGCTTGTGTAGCAGGAGTAGAGATGAGGGTTGAGAGAGTAGGAGGCATTGCGTGAGAAGCATGGAGAGGGATGTCAGCTGCCATGCTGGCAACAGCGTGGCCTGAATGATGGAGGCTGTTAGGGAGGGGCCAGAATGGGTTTGGGGCTCTGCTGGAGGACACTGACTTGATCTTCCTTTTCTTTTAGGTAAAACCTGTTTTCCAGTGTGTCGGCATCCTGTGGAAGGTTGGTCACCTGAAGTCTGGGATGTGAAGGATCTGAAGCTGTCTCATCTGAGGTGTTGAAACCAAAACACACATTATTTATGACACTCTGGCACAGTTGTGTGTGTCGAACGTCCGCTCAGCATGCCACCGCAGGAGTCACCTCTGCCATGCTCTGGATGCCCCTTTAGAATGTCACCCTTTCTCCCTCCTGAAGAGGGCTTTGCCCTGCTCAGGGGCAAAGGGTAGAAACGTTGATTTTAAAAATAATTTTAAAGCAACTATTGACAAAAGTAAAAGAGATCAGAAGTTACCAAGAACCTAAACAAAGCCTGAAGGATATTCAGCTGTATATTTAGGATTTCTCCTGGATCTATGACCTTCTAGATGTCTGACCCTTGGGTGGTCTTTGGGGCTTGGGCAAGTTCCGGCCTTGGGTTGGTGATGACCGTGTGGAAGCTCAAAGTCACAGTGCTCAGAGCTGTGCAGCCCTGGCAGAAGTACACACCTGTCTGTGGCTCCTTCTCTTTCTTTTCTTTTTTTTTTTTAAGGGTTCAGCAAAATCAGGCATGGCTAGTTCACAAAGAATTCTGAATATCAGGGAAAAACCTACACCTGTGTGCGTGTGTGTGCATGTGTGTGTGCATAGATGAGTGTGTGCATATACATTTGAAATAATTCCTTCTTCTCTGAAGGGAAAAGGCAGCACGAGGCAGCCTTTGGTTAGTAACAGCCTTGTGTGTTTCTCTGCCCTGTCACGGTTCTATGTTGATGGTCTTAGAAATGTAATTTGAAACAATCACTGTGGTGATTTAAGCAGATGGCGGTTTGGTTGACTGGAAGAGTACAGTCAGGGACTATATTTGATGTTGGTCTGGGCCAGACTGGACTAGAAACCCACCTGGACCAGCAGGTTACTGCAGGGGGCCCCTCCCGCAGGGGTCAGTGTGGGGGGGTCCCGGGGGGTGGCTGATCCCAGAGCTCCTGTGCCAGGACGTCTGCTGGCTCCTGGGGGCAGGGCCTTGGGCTGACTTCTCAGGCTGATCGAGGTCTCCCGTTTCTCTCTTTCCCTGGGGTTGAGGTTATTTGCTGCAACTAGGATGCTTCTGCTAAAGTCTGCTAGCAGTGCCTTTGGGGTCCTGGGACTCTGTTCTCTCTGGAAAGGTGTTTTTTTTTAATCTACTCTTTTGTTTTCTAGCATTCTGCAGGGTTTGTGTACTTGCCTGTTTACTGTCTGCTCTGTTGCTTTGGATGAAAACTCCAGCCTTTCCCGACTCCCCCTGGTTTCAGATTCTTCAGTTTTCTGAGAAGGGGCTGCCGGTGCTGCAGGGTCCTCTGGCTCCCCAGGCCCCTGGGCACGGGGTTCTGCAGCCCTGGCCTGTTAGGAAGGCACGCTGGCCTGTGCCGGAAGGAGACGGCCGCTTGGGAAGGCCACTCTGAGAAGAGCGCGGTATGGACGCACACGTTGCCCTTGGCTCCCTTGATTGCACTGGTTTTGTTGACTTTCCTTCTCCATTTCTCTGCCCTATTTGTTGGAAGGGTGGGCCTGCCTTATCTCTCCCCTCCACAGTGTACTCATGGGCCCCAGCGGTGACTAAACGCGACTGGCCACCGAGCAGCTGGGCGCCCTCTGAACCCTCCAACTGGAACTGACGACTGCAGCTGAACCATCTACGGAAAAGCTGGAATTTTCTGCCTTATGCATAAACGCCAGACTCCAGGGCAGCGGCTGCCAGGGGCTCACCACTGGGCCTGGCAGAAGCAGCTGCCCAGAATGACCTTCCAAATTCTGGAGCTTCAGCCCTGCAGGCTCTTAAATAAAAACCCTTTCGGCGTGAACCATGTGTGCACCAGTTTGGATGTTTTCTGAGAAGGCGGCCAGCGAGGTGCCTTTTTGTGATTGGGGGTGGGGGCACGAGTCTCTGAGGAGGGCAGAGGTGGGCCAGGGAGAGGTCCCTGGGCTGCTGGTTTAGAAAAATCTTAGGAATGAAAGGGTGCCCGGGGAAAGGGGATGCAGTATTTTCCCACATACATTTGTAGGTGCATCTGGTCATTTCCTGGCAGCGGCCTCTTTGGTTGGGAAATAGTGAGGCCTCATTGTTTTGGGGGCATCTTGGGATCTCTCCAAAGAATAGATAACCAATTGAGTCAAAAACTGCTGGCTTCTTACTGCCTTCTGCCTGGCTTGGCTTAAGCTTTCTGGAAGGCGAGCGTAGTAAGTCCAGGCTGGGTTAATGTGTGAGTGAGGAAACGCCAGAAAGAAAAGCTTGTGTGCTTCCGTTCTAACACGGTGCCCTCGGAAGTTTGGAGAAGCTGGCGGGTGTTCTGCCTCCCTCTCCCGAGAGGGCTGCTCCGGTTCTTGCCTTCTCTACAACCGCAGTAGCAGCTGGGTGTCTGGGGAGCTCTTTCTCCAAGTCACCCCCCCAAAGTCCTATCAGGCAGGTTCCTTCAGACACCCAGGGAGGGACCGGCCTGAGTGGGAGACAAGGCATGTTCTGGAGTCGGCAGGGGTCCCCCAAGGGTTGGCCGATATGCAACTTGCCATTTATTTTTGAGGATTCAGTCGGGGCTCAATTCCTGCTGTGCCCCCTTCTACACAAAGAAAACCTGTCTCCCCAGTGGGCCATGTGGGACCCGCAGAAAGCCTGTTATTAAAGAATTCATAATATCAAAGCCCTTCTCTCTACTGCCTGTATTTTCAATCATGGAAGTTAATTATATGTCTACTCTCACACTGTGGGGATGGGGGAGAGATTGGGGTGTCATTGCAAAAGGACGTTTTATAAGGACATTGGCACGTTATCCCCAAAGGCCAGTGATGAAGTCTTGTGTTTGTGTCCCTTCTCTGCCCCCCTCCGTGGGATTCCTGTGTTTGGATACTGTTTTAATGCAATTAGGGTGAGATGACCTTGAAGGGCAGGATCTGGGGGCTGGAGCGCAGCAGTGCCCCATACTTGCCTGTGAGATCTCAGCAACCAAAGCTGGTCAAGAGATTGAGACGTGGGTGTTGTCGTTTCCTGGAGAAGGAAGGGAAGGGGAGAGGGGAGGGAGAGGAGGAAGAAAGGAGAGGAGGAGAAGGGGGAGACAGGAAGGAGAGGGGAGGACGGGAGGGAAGGAGGGAGGAAGGGAGGGGAGGGGAAGAGAAGGGGGGAAGGGGGGGCGGGGAAGGGGAAAGGAGGGGAGAAGGTGAGGAGGGGTGGGTAGCATCAGCAGAGGATGATCACTGGGCATGGGAGAGAAAGGCAGTGAAGGGCTCTGTGCCCATTCGGTGCTGCCTCCCCTCATGGAGGCTTTCTCAGTGACCCCCCCCCCACCTCCCCACAACACCTCTTCCAGGGCAGCCATGAATCTGCAGGTCCCCATATTGCTTACATTTCTCACCACTCACATCTTCCTGGGTTTTCTGAGGCTATTGGGGTTAGGTCTTGTCTGACGCAATTAAATGCTTTCATCCTTTGAGCCTGAGGAGCCAGCGAGCTCTGGGGGCCTGGAGGTGTCTACTGCAGCCCAGCAGTGCAGAAAAAGGGTCTGCCACAACAAGACCCGCAGGCTGCTCACCTTGGGCCTGGCAGTGCCAGCGTCTTGAAACATTCTTGTGGTTTTTACTTATCAGTGGATTCAAGAACGCTTGATGTGGACTCAGTGTGAATGGCACACAGCTTGTGAAAACAAGTGTATTTTGCATTTTTGTTGGGAACCAAATGGACACGAATGTTCTGGGTGCTCGTGAGCCATGCTCTGCATTGCTACCTGAGTTCTCTGGTCCACGAGAGTCTGAATGTGACTCTCCTTGTAAAGCGCCTCTGAATGCACTGGTAATTCCTGGTGGGCCTCCTCCAGGGTTCGTTGGCTGGTTTATCAGCAAGCTCTGTCTCCTGGGATGGGTTTTTGATTAGCCAAGTTGACGTGGACGGGAACAGAGTGAGCTCTTGTGTCCAAACCCGTGTGCGATTCCTGGCCCCCGACTCACCAGCTAAGTGAGCTTGTCCTCACTTTTCTCATCTGGATTATGGGCAAGCTTACTTCTGTAATTACCATGATCATTAAAAGGAATAATCTAGCAAAGTGCATGTTGCCTGTGACCGGCACAGGGTCACTCAGGAAATGGTCACGGCCACCACCTCCACCGAGAGTGATGTTCGAGCCCCTCCTGCGTGCCAGGCACTTTTGTATCCACTTCCTTATTCAGTCCTTTGGGGAGTCCTTCAGGTAGGCGTCGTCCCTGGAACCCAGGCCCAGGGCTGTTCCCACCAAGAACCCCGCTTCCCTCCCTGGCTCCCCGTAAGAAAACAAATCTCACATTGGCCCAGCACTTCAACACTCTCTGAGTCCAGCCAGTAGTGTGCTGAGGCTGGCGATGGTCTTTATTTTGTACTTGGAGGAACAGGACCAGGAAGGTTCTGTGGCTGTGTAGGGTCACCTGGTTATAAGGGGCTGGTCTTGGACCACAGGCCTCCTGCCCACTCTAGCAATTTCCCCTGAAGGGGGGGGGGGGGTTCTCTTCTGAGACCCCAGCAGCTCACTAGTGGGATGGTATAAGAGGTCTGAGCTCTGGGTCAAGGACACTGAAGGTCAAATGTCCCAACTGGCACCCCACGCTCTAGAGGGCCCCACTCTGGCTGTGGCCTCCTGATGGGGAAAAGAATTGGTGGGATAAAGGGGACGTGTCCCCTGGGGCCCATGCCCTTCCCTTTCCAGATCTCACCCTAGAATTCTCTGCCCACATATCCTGGAGCTGGCTTCCAGGGCATCCTCCCTAGGGCCACTCGTCTACCTGCACCAGGTGTGACTAGGATGGGCGTGTGCAGGCTGTGGTGTCCACAGGTGTTCGAGGCCCCTTGTAATGTGGACCAGATGAGGAAGGCAAGAGAAGGGGCCTTCAATGAAATCCTGATCCTGGCCCAGCAAACTTCGGGAGCAGGTCGGCTGGGTCCTGACTCTGGCTTTACTTTTATTTTTTTTATTTGAGGAAAGTAGTGTATTTGGTCTCAGTTTTAGTTCTGATCACATCAGCAGTGGCGTACATTAGAACCAAGGGTGGGCAGAGAAGCAAGCGCACACACGCAATGAGGAGCCTGCTCTGGGTGCCTGTGAGGTTAGAATGGACCCCTTGCCCAACTGGGGTCGGGTTCCGGGGGAATTTTCCACGTCTCCTCTTTTTTCTTATCAAAGATGAAGTCGACAGCCGTGCTTGGAGATTGCCACTGTGCTGAGATCGCTTTGTTTTTCTTTGCAGTGATTCCGTTTCTCACATTATAAGACTTTAAGACCATTGTTGTTTGAACTGGCCTTGGCCTCAGCCCCGGTTTTCTGATGCTCTCGCTCTCCCTCCCGATTCTCTCAAGGCCTTGGTGAGCCTTGGTGTTCTTTTCTCTCTTGACTTGGAATCACTATCCATGGAAAATAATTACTGGAAACGTTCTGGAATAGAAAGTGAGGAACAGAGTTGGATAAGCACCACATAAAGCAACTAATGAAATGGACTCATCTCCTTTTCACTTGAAAGCCACCCCAGGGGCACGTTACACGGCCTTGAGAATCAGTCTCCCTTTGTCCACTGTTCACCCCTTGCTTGTGGGGAGGTGGCGAGGTGGCCTGGAGACACCCACCTTGGCCACCTCCTGCCTGGGTCCCTTTGGCTGAGACAGTGACATTCTCAGCTGCCCGCAGATGGGGGGAGTGTGCGTGGGAGGATCAGATGAGATAACGTGCACCCAGTATGTGCTTATTAAATGGGATGTCATTGCACCGTGCATCCAGCAGGTGCTCAGGGAGCCACAAGTCACGATGCCGGGGCCTGTTGAGCGACAGAGGTGAAGGGGACAGGCACGCCTCCGTCTTTTAAGGCAGTTAGAGTGGGAGGGAGAGGAGGATTGCACACAGAGCCCCACCGTGGCCACCCTCTGCTTTATTAAGGCGTCTGCGACAGTACAGCATCGGCTACTATTTACTGTGCTGTTAACAGGTTCCAGGTGCCGTGTTAGGAGCTCGGGCTCTGAAGCCAGAGTGAATCCTGGTTCTAACATTTACCACCTGTGGGACCTCGGGCACAGCTCTTCGCCTCTGTGAACCCCTCTGCTCTCCTGTAAAAGGGGGGTGGTAACAGCACCCACCTCATCGAGCATTGTGGACTGGATGCGTGACGTCTTTACAGTGCTTACACTACCCCCAGGCGCACAGCACTCAGGTGTTAACATGCATTAATGCTAAAGTAGCTTCTGTTATCACTTCTGCTTCACAAGCGAGGAAACCGAGGCTTTGGTAATGGACTTGCCCAGGTCTGATGCCCTGGGTGCTATGCACAGTGCTGCATCGCCACGCAGTGCTGGAGCTCGCTCCCAGCTCAGGGGGCCAGGTCCCATGCAGGCCTTGAGGCCCTGCCAGAGCTACAAAGTTCTGTGGGGTTCCAGAGGCGCAGAGTGCTGGGGGCCTGTAGGGGCCCCTGAGGCGGTTCTCTTTGCCCGGGGCAGGTGTTTCTGATGGCTGGTGCTTGGGAGTGGGGCCACGGATGTTGCTCCTGGGCAGAAGGGAGAAGGGAGGATGCGGTGGGGAGAGGAGGCTGCTGAAGGGCCTCCCTTTACCTGGAATATCCAGCTCCTCGTCGGGGAAGACAAGAGTCATATCTTAGAAGCAGAATGAGTTCAGCCTCGGGGAAGCAAGGTTGGGCTGGAAGGAATATCGGACCTGGATAGGGTGTCTGTCTCCTTCCACATTTCCCTCTTTCCATCCTTATGAGGGCATTTCAGAGGGGCCAGCTTTGGGTGAAACAGATCCCACACACCCTGCAATGCTGCCTTCTTCCTTAGATGTGGGGTGCCTGTTCCTTACATGTGGGGGTCTTGCTCAGATTTGTGAAGCACCGTGATTCCAAGTATTCGGTTCCATTTCTTTTATGAGCATTTGGGAACCTGTTAGATTGTCCCAGTACTGGCTTTAAAGATGTGGCTGCTGTGGTGGACACGATCTAGTTCAGTGTCTTCTGGATTTTCTAGTTAAAAACAGGACTTGAAGTTATGAGAAAACAGTTCAGATTGATTTAAATAGCAGAATTTTGATAAGAAGTGGATTTATTATAAAAGTGATTCATTCATGTAATTTTGGAAGACAGATAATTATAAAGATAAAATAAATTATCCAGATGATAATAACCCTTAACATTTTGGTGTATTTCCCTCTGAACTCACCCCTTCCTTCCTTTCTTCCCTCCTTCCTTCCTTCTTTCCATCATTTATCCACTTCTCATTTGCAAACACTTATCAAATGCCCACCTGTGCCAGTGCTGTGTTAATTGGAAGGCTCAAGAAGCTGAGTCTGGCGGAGGACCAGACACGTGACCTCCAGGGACATCAGAGGATGAGGGGCTGTACTGGGATGTGAGGGCCTCAGAAGCCCTGACAAGGGAGGGGCCAGCTCTGCTTGGAGGGCAAGTGATCTCTGGACTTCTGTGTGGGTGCCTTTCCATGTTTTTCTCTACAAAATTGCATCATATAACCTGATTTTTTCAGTTAATATTGTAAGCATTTCCTCGTATCCATAATATTTAAAACAATTTTTAAAGGCAGCTTTAGAATTGTATTTTGTAGGATTGCACCACTGTGTGACCCTGTGTCTGACCTATATTGGCAAAAGCTATGGACGCAAGAGGCCCCATGGCAAAGTACAGGGGTGAGGCCCCTGGGGTCTGAACTGGCCCCCAAGAAGAGCTCTGATAACCATTAATTTCCTTTCCTCCTCCTCCTCCTCCCTCCCCTTTGCACCCCTTTCAATATTTCAGCTTGCAACCTGGAGCGGGATGAAGGCTGCCTGAGCGCAGAGCTCAGCTCACCATGATCCATCATAATCTGTGCGCCACCGGGGAGCTTCTGCTTGCTGCCAGGCGCAACCATCGCGACCAGGCTGGGTGCCGTTCTGACCCTCAGCTCTCCCTCCCGGGGTGGAGCAGCACAGTGATTGTCCACGTGTCACTGAGTGGATCCCACAGCCCATGGGGAGCCTGTGCAGGGAGGGCTGAGTGGGCAAAGTGAAATGAAGCTCCTCGCCTATGACAGACCCATCAAAGCCCCACTAGCTTTCACCCAACCCCCGCAGGCATCGTGGCGCTAAGAGCCCCCGGAGGTCCTGATGTGTGGAAAGGGTTCAGAACCACGGGTCTCTTTGAGCCCTGTCCCTAAGCAGCTGTCCTGTGAGGCTGGGATTCAATTTTGTTTGTTCTCAGATGTCTATCCACCTGTCCCCACACCACTGAATTGAAACACCATCTCTGTTGTATAGTAAGTTCTATATCAGAGTCTTATGTTTAAAGCTTTTGCATCTTATCTCTACTTATCTTTAGGACTAGGTCCTAAGGCCTGGAAAGGTCCAACACAAGTCTGTACCTGAGGATTGACAGCAGGGACTTATAATGTGGGTATTCTGGCTGGATGGGCATTTGGGGATCACGGAGTCCAGCATCCTTATTCTATACTTGAGGGAACTCTGGCTCACAGAGTTTCTGGGAATTCCAACTGTTTCCTCCACAGGAGAGTAATTCCTTTTGAAGTTGGACATCTCTACCCCGAACTCTAAGCAAGACTCAGCTGCAGGCTGCTGGCTTCCTCTTCCTCCAGTTCTTCCTTCTACACCTGTGCCTCATGGCTTTCCTACCCCGCTCAGGGGAGGATGTGGCTGGATGAGTCTAGATGGGCACACCTCACCCACATCCACACTGGGAAGGATGTGGCCACTGCATTCGGGGCAGAGAATGGATTTGGACCCACCCATAGAAAAACCCCAGATTCATAATGTGGTGCCAGCAAAGGAGTTCTCTGTAAGGTGTTTCCCCAAAGCAGTGAGTTCAGTGACCAAGGACCCAGGAGTCTGAAAGCCTTGAATTTCACCAGGGGGGACCAGGAAGCACAGTGGAGAGAGGTGGCCCCAACTCATCACTGTGGCTTCTGCTGCTTGGGTTCCGCCACATGTGTCTCACTCTGGGGCAGGAGGTGCCAGGTCTGGGCATTCTGTGAGGGGTGCTAGGGGCCCCAGAGGGAGGAGGTAGCAGCCGGGCCCTGGAATGACAACAGCTAGCTCAGCCGGCCTCACAGGAGGCCCAGTCGGGGACCCCTCAGGCCAAGGCCACACAGTGTGTGGAAGATGCATGAGAACTCACTGCGGGAGCCTAGATGAGATTCGTTAGACCTGTGGCCTAAGACTCTGCATTTCCAACAAGCTCCCAGGAGAGGAGCACCACTGGTCCAGGGAACTGCATCGTGAAGAGCAAGGTTCTAGGTTGCTTTTTTCCTACACCCTGCTTCATCAGCCCACCTTGGCTGACTGAACTCTGGCCCTGGAGGTTTAGGCCACAGCCCCGCGATCACCCCTGACCCATCCCCGCTTCTGCAACAGCCCTCAGATACCGTGATGCTCCCCCCCCCCCCCCCCCCCCATTAAAATCACAGCAAGCAGACATGGATGTCCCGGCTGGGCAGTCTCACATGCCTATTCCACAGACCATCCCAGATACTGGAGGCCAGAAGGCCAGGATGAGGATATCACTCGTGCCCTGGAGGAGAGCGGGGACTTGGGTGGGTGAGTTTCCTCCCCATGCTCAGGAAAGCCACTCTGTCTGGAGGAACGGGGTTTCTAGGGTGGTGGTTGCCAGGAAGATGGTCCTGAGATTTCAAAAAGCACGACAGAGTTTCCTTCCCTTCTCAGCAAGCTACAAGTGGAAAAAACTCTGATTCAGAAAGAGAGGGTCCAGCCCTTGAGGAAAACCAGGCGTCTCCTGGAGGGCGCACCTGTACTGCAGGCCGGATTGGAGAGGAAGTCTTGCCGTGGCGTGCCAGCTCACATCCTCCAAGTGTGCCAGGGGCACGTCCCAGGGAAAACGGGATTGCCAGTAATCAGTGCAGCATCTCCAGATCAGAGCTCGGGAGGATGGTGGGAAAGTTAAAACAAAAAAAGGTGTTGCAAGACTCTAGGATTTGTGGTGCCAGAGTCCTCTTTGGGATTAGAGAAAGACGGGATATGGCATATAGGGTTTTGGGCCAAATAGTCACTCTCTATCCAGCGGAACGACAGCCATGGAGGGGATGAATACAGCGAAGTATTTGGAAACTAGCCAAGCACTGGTGCAGGTTGGCCTGAGGAAGAAATAGATGCAAAGGAGAAAAAGAGAAAGTACCCTGAAACCTTCGATTACAATGTATAAAAAGTCACAAGTTCAGACTTTGCAAGGAGAGGTAAAGAATCACGAGACTAGTGCAAGAGTAAACAGATAGGTGAGATATGCTGAATGTCTCCAAGAATTTCGGACGTTTGCCCGTGGATACTTCAAGTGAGTTAAGGGCTTTTGTATGTGGAGGTCTAGATGGCGTAAGAGAAAAAGTGAGTGGGCAGATGGGCAGCTGTGTAGATTCCGGGCAGGGTCAGGAGGGTGGGATGGACGTGGTCCCCCTGGCCTGACTCCCGGAAAGGCAGGGGAGAGGACCCGCGGCAGGTGAGAGCTGCCTTGCTCAGGCTCACCCGTAGGTGCTGTAAACCAGTGGTGTGTGAGTGGCTGCCAAGTGGGCATTTTGGGGTGGCCTGTGTCTGTCCTATGAGACATAGATACCTCTCTTAGCGCAAGGCAAGATGGCACAGAGCCTCTGTACACTTGAGAAGACAGGGGAAGAGAGTGAGAGAAGTTTGCATTTGAGAAAAGTGGCTTCAAAGTAAAGAAGTTCTCCCGTTCACCCCCTTTCCCTCCCAAATGAGCACATCTGGTGCATTTCCCAGCTGGAGCGCCCTGAAACCCACCTGCCTCTCTCCGGGGTCCCCTTGCCTCTCCCCACACTCTTCCCAGGCACCAACATCGTTCATGTCCTCTTTGACTCCATGTCTGTCCTCCTCCCCCCTCCCTGCCCCCAACCAGCTGCTCCCTGGTTCTTGTCAATTCTCCAACCATTATAATCCTCAATCCTGCCTTTGCAGAACCCGCAGCCCCTGCCCCTGTCCAGGTCCTCCTCCCGTGAGCCTGGACTCCTGCAGAGTTTCCTAACTGGTCCCTCGGCTTCTAGGTGCTCCCTGCTCTGCCTCAGGGCCTCTCAAACGCCACCCTCGGGGGGGTTGTCTCAAGCACTCTTCAACCTAGGTGCTCCTTTGGTCAATAAACCTTCAGTGGCTCCCTATTGCCAACAGATTAAAAGTCCAAACTCTTTAACTTAGCTTTGGAGGCTCTGCAGCCCACGGCCCCATCCTGCACTTTCCTCCGCTTCTTATCTACACAACCCTCTTATTGGTGTCCAGCCAATCTCCTCAGTTATTCCTGGACGTACCACACACCCTTCCCTTTCCAGTCAAGATGCAGTTCAAGCTCCACTTTTGTGTGGTGACGTCACCCACTGGGGCCGTGGTGATGATCTCCAGAGGTGTCTGTTCTCTGAGGCTGCCAGCCCCGTTGAGATCCCAGGTCTCGGGCGCTCTGATGCCTTCCCACTTTGTCTGCTTGCTTTGGAAGCCCGGGGCTTGTGACCGTGGGGTCATCTTGGCCTCCTGGTTTCTGCCTTCTGTACATCTGCTCTCTCGGTTTACTGGATCACTCTGGGTATAAGACGCAATCAAAACTGAATCACATAAAATATTCGGGGGCAGTGTTTTGACTTTCTGCAGGAGCTGGGGATGTTCTGGGGATGGCTAACAGGTGCCCTCCCTTTCCCCAGCATGCCTTAGACATTCCTGCTTTTACATATTCTTTCTGCCCACTTGCCACTGGAACGTTCCCCGGGCCGCAGGTCAGCGTCCAGCCTCTTGCTGATTCCACTCGTTTTGCCAGCCCTCTGTTGCCTCACTCTGCTCGCCCCTCTCATCCTTTCCCCCAACCAAAACATCCCAGTCTCCCTGCTTCTTGTGGGCAGTTACTTCATCCTCTCCTCTGAGCCTGGGAATGGGCCACCTCAGGCTCTTGGGACCTCACTTCTGCCATGAGCACAGATCACGCTCTCTCCCATCCACCCCAGCAGAGAGCATTCTTTCTCTCAGAAGGTGCACATTTCAGACTTATGTGTCTGTAACGTGATCAGAGCCCTCGCTGGCCCTGCTTCCGGCCAGGCATGGACTCCTGATCCTTTTTGTGCTGAGTCATTTTGTGGCGGGTCTTGTACTTGGGCAGAGGGGCAGTGTTCACTTTTGGTAGTGACAATGACGGTAGTTTGAGGACCTGCCAGTAGGTGAATTTGGGACCATTTTTAGAACAGAAAAGAGAGTCAACCAGCACTTACTATAAAAGCACCTGTTGATCCAGACACCTCAAAAGTCTTGTAGAAAAGGAGAAGACAAAAGAAGAGGAAAATGAAGCAAGATAAGGAGAGGGTCTCCCAGTATTCCCAAAGGAAGAGAAAATCCATCTATGCAGCAAAAGCAGGGGTGAAGCCCTGAGCTGGCTGTCCTGAGTCTCTGGGCTTCATAGGAAATGCTGTGATTTCCTTCATTCACTCAGGACACAAAGTGGCTGAGTCCTACTCTGTGCCAGGCACTGTTCTAGGAACTGGGAACACCCTAGCGGACAAAGCAGACTTGGCTTCGGTTTCCGTGGAATTTATCACAAGCACAAGCCAGAGAGCAAGCAAGGAAAAATCCTGGCATTGTGCTCAGAGCTCTAAGGGGTGACGGAGTGGTGGCCTCCTGACCGGTGTCGACCACAAGTCAGGCAGTGGGCAGCCCCCCTGCTTGAAGGGACAGGAAGAGACTTGAGGGGAATGAGGGAAGGATGAAGGAGGACCATGAGTGAAGCTCGGGAGAAATGGC